AAATCGGCAGCTAAATAAGTTGTCCGGTATCGAAGTTTCTGGTAGCTAAACCGTCGATTAGCTATTGGAAACCTGTAGCATTTACAAAAAAAATTGATAGCCCATCTTTATTTATACCAATTTGTATAATATCTGCACATAATTCAAAAAATATATAAATAAAAACTTTAAGGGTAATTTGACACAATAGCAAGCAACGGAAATAGAGTCTAAAATCAACAGAACATTGCATATGAAATAACAAAACACAATCCATATGTTCCATAATCAACATAATATATAAATCCATACTACTCATAATATATGAAATCCACACAATCAACAATGCAAATGTTCCAGATACATTAAAAGGTTCTTCAAAGAAATAACAACACTAATCATCCTCTGTGTTCTCGTTGCCTTATGATTCAAGTGTTGACTCTTGCTCTTTCTTCTTCTGATTTTCACCTTCACTTTGAATAAGATATCCAATATATGTAAAACGTGTACTCTTATTAATAACTTTATCGCTCAAATTTGTAATCCCCTCACTAAGTGTATTACAACTAAAATTATACTCGATATGTTTATATTTTAAATCAAATCAAGCGAGAACCTTTACAATCTAAGGTAAACATCCAAAATTCAAAGTTACCTTCAACTCCTTCTCTAATCTTATAAAAAAGAATAGTATCATAAGCAATAGTCTTAGCAATAAGAACATTCATGACTAAAGCAAAATGATATGGGCTTAATGCTTGTCCAAAATCAACCTGCCATTCATGACTAAAGCAAAATGATATGGGCAAAGATTACTAAGAACATCCATGACTAAAGGAAAAAAAAAGTAAATACACGGAGATCACCTTTGGGCATCGACAGGTGTACTGAGGTTGTCGGCAGGCGGACTGAGGGCGTCTGCGGTCAGAGTGCTACAGACGCAGGTTACTGTAATTAAGTGATATTGTGACTTAAATTAAAACTTAAATTATAGTAAAATTTTATAATTAATTATTTGTTAAATTAAGTTAAATAAATTAATAATTTATTATTAAATTAAATTAACTAATATAATAATTCATTTTTAAATTAAATTATATTTTTTATCTTTAAGAGTTCATTGTTAAAAAATTTACTTTAAAAATTCAGCCGAAAATATTTGTCCTGCGAAAAATTCGCCGGAAATGTTTCCGGCATATAATTTTGCGCTGGAAGGCCTTTTACAACGCGCGTCAAATCGGCGAAAATATTTCAGCCGGAAATGCTAGTTTCCGACGGATTTTGACCAATTTTCCGGTGAAAATGTATGCCGGAAAATGACGTTTCTCCTATAGTGTGATATTGTGACTGATTATGTGATAGACTGAGATGTGATATGTTATAGAAGGATATATATATAACTGGTACAATTAATGGATTTTAATGTAATATAGATTTGCTTATATGATTCAAAATATATTGTTTATTTTTTTTACTACATTAATTTCAGTTTTACTATTTTGGTTACTTAGTGGACTATCTATTCATTATGCGCTATTTATTTGATTTTAGGAGAAGATAAGAATCTTATGGCATTAGGCACTGGACATAATATAATTTTTTTTTATACACTTCTAATTTAGTTTTGTTTTGGTTCATTTGGTTTATGTATATTTTTTCTAGCCTATGAATAAGGCTATTGTACATACTATTTTGGTTCCTATAGATAAAATAGAATATAAATATTGATTTTAGTAATATGAATTCTATTTTTTGTTATCTATATTTCTATAATATAATTTATCAACTCTAGATATAAATTTGATTTTGTTATAAATGGACGAGTTGAAAATATAATAAAAAGAAAAAAAAAGAAATTTTTTAACTTTAGGTCTTGATGCTTGACAAAATTAGTATCAGAGCAATAGTCAGTAAAAGAATTTGATTGTGATCAAAGTGGTACGGTATTATTGATTGCATTATTTTTGTATTTATAGATTTTTTTTAAGAATTTATTGTGTATGTGTTTATTTTGTTTAAAGAATCTATATTAAATTTAAAATTTATTTATGGATAAGGCAAATGGACCCAAATCAATAAAAAATAAAAGAAATATGAACCTGCCATTGAAGTATTTTCAGTGACTTCAGAGAATAATAAAAGATTTGCTGACATGATTACTCAGATGGTGAGCGCGATAGATTGACGAAACAGCATGGTAAGAACTATAACAAAATGGAAAAAAGATATAAGAAAAAGATTGGAAAGACTATTAAAGCACGTACTATACTGCAATGTATTTGGTGTGGGAAGACCTTGTTATTGAGTAACATGATAATATTTTAGATGCGTAGTTATGAACATCAAATGACATAATGCCCATTGCCTGGACATGAACATGATATGAACATAGATATTTGGAATGAGTGAAAGAGGTTTCTAATGTGCCTGATGATACGCTGATATGATTTTGTGTTATTTTCTAATTTTATTAGTTAAGTTTTCCGACGAGATTTGAATTAATTTGAAGTGATCTTTGATTTCTAGTTGTTTGAATGTTGATTAATCAGTTTGATTTAGAAATTATATTTTACATAAGTTTCCTCTCCCTGATTGATATAGAAATGTCGATGACATCTTCTTTTAAAGGTGAAAAGATTATAATAACTCAAAATATGAAAAAAAAAATTAAATTGAAAATTAAAATTTTTGTTTGAATTAGAGCCTTCAACTTTGTGCTTTTGAATGATGTAGTGTTATGCTTGAGAGCACAATGGTGCCAGAAATCATTGCTACGGGATTTGAGACTCTATTTCTACAATATATCTTAATTTTACATACAGTGCTGCAGCGCTAGGTCTGAGTGCATGCTACGATGTTAGCTGCTAACAATATTTTATATATTTTTTAATCTAAATATCCGTACCATTCCCTCTCCCTTATGCTCATTTTGTGTGGCTTGGTAGAGAAGGAAAAGGAAGAGAGGAAGAGAAGGGGAGCGGCAGAAGAGAGGAAGTTCTTCATAGCTTTATTATATGTCATTCTTGTTACAAAAAACTATTCTATTTGTTATAACTAATTGTCCTATTACTTATATTTTTATGATTTTAATTTCTACATATTTAATCATTCTTAAATTTCTCCAAAAATTCATTGTATCCTAATTTTATAAGCTTTCATTATGTAATTTTTGATATATTATATATTTAATCATTCTGAATAATATTATATAATTTTATTATATTTTCACATGTTAGAAACATGTATATGAATGTTTTTGTAAATGAGTAGGAAAAATATATAGTGAAGCCGGGTCAAAAGTGATGTATTATGATTTAATACGATAATAATGAAATATATATATGTGTTGTAATAATTGATATGACTGATATGTATTGGAATGTGATACTGATAAAGCAGAAAGAATGTACTGAACTGGTCTAACTAAAATGATTTACACATTAATATCAGATATATAGTATATGTGATAACCCCACATAATACCCTCATGATTCACTGATTCACTGATGAGATTCATAAAGAGCTAGAGACTAATTGAGAGTCATAAAGAGTCGGGACGACTATTCACATGATTCAAGGAGAGTTATAAGGAGTACACTGATTAAGAGTCATAGGGGGTGATTAATTGAGATTCATAAGTATAGGAACAAGATCAAGATGTCATCTTCTAAATATCTAAATGTGGTTATTGATACTGACGCTAATATTCATACAGAATATTGATCTCGGTTGTTGTTAATTATTACTTTTGTTGTTACTAATATTGATCCCTATTATTGATACTGTGGTTGATGATGTAATAGGCTGAGATGTGAAGTATTATATAAGAATAATGTGATATAAATAATTGGTACAATTAATGGACATTGATGTAATATATATTTGCTTATATGATTCAAAGTATATTGTTTCTCTTTTTCGTTGCATTGATTTCAATCATAAGATTTTCATTACTTGCTGGCTTATCTGCTCATTATGTGATTTTTATATGATTTTAACAAAGGGTAAGAATCTTGTTGCATGAGGCATTGAACAACATGCATAGTTTTCTTTCTATACAACCATTTTTGTTTTCTTTGAATTCATGTGGTTTATGCATATTTTTTTGTAGATGCTATTTTATATATATATATATATAGCATGGAGAGTTGGAATTGAGAGAGGAGATTGTGGAGGTTAAAGGAGGTATCAAATGAGATAAAGGAAAACTACCGGCACGAGAGTATAATTTATCATAGATTTGCAACTAGTTTAAAATCTTGATTGTAAATCTCATCATAATATATAAAAATGTTGTAATAACTCTGATGTCTACATTTAATTATCTTATTTAGATGCCCTCCCATTCCTCAAAATTTTAATATAATTTTTTTCAATCCTCAATTCTTTTCAATGTCCTATTAAATCTTACTTAGTTTCATAAATCAATGTCAAATGATTATATACTAATTCCAAATTTATTGAACTCCTTGTTTATTTAGAAGTTAGAACTATAAAATTACTTGTTAACATGATAATCACATAGGAATTAGTTTAATGACTATTCATTCACTAACATATTTATTAACTCTTTTAGTTACTCATCTAATTAATATAAGCATTTGAAGTTCAAGCTAAACTTGATTATATATTCATTTCAATTAATCTATTTAAAATTTAATTAAAACAATTTTATTTATTATATTTCTAAGATGAATTTAATTAAAAAAATTAATTCAATAATTACTAAACTCATCTCAAATAAAATTTAATAGATAAACTTAAATCAAATTATTTTAGCCCAAAATTTCTCTCGTCATTTTCATTTCCACTCGGTTTAAGAAATGGACCTCCACCTACATACTACATGCTCCCCTGCCTCTTCAACGGCTGGCTTATTGCCGCGCACGTCTGCCACGTGGCGCAACAAAATCCCTTCCCGCCCTATTTAAACCAAGTACGCACAACATTCGCTTCTCGCCGAGCTCCATCTTCCTCCTCTGCTTCCCCAACCAGAAAGCAGAGATCGGAGCCAGCCAGCCATGCCATCCTTCAGCTCCTACGGCATGATCTCCGAACAAGACCAGCTGGGCTCCAGTCACCGCAGCTCCCGTAAACGACTCGCCATCATTGCCCTCTCCTCCATCGTCCTCATTGCTGTCATCACCGTCGCCATCCTCGCATCCAACCATGGCTCCGATTCCGGTCCTCTAAATCCCAATACCGACACCGCCTCAGCCGCCGACTCTTCCCTCCGCACATCAATCAAATCCCTCTGCTCCACCACCCTATATCCCGACTCATGCTATGCCTCCCTCGCCCCCGTCGTCACCAACTCTTCCAGCCTCGACCCAGCCGTGCTCTTCCGCTTCGCAGTCCAAGCCGCCAAAGACGCTATTTTCACTTCCGCAAAGCTTTTCGATGATCCAAATCTAAAACAGGGCATCAAATCTTTGTCCAATGCCGCGATCTCTGACTGCAAACAGCTCCTTTCGCTTGCAGCAGAGCATATCGAAGATTGCACCACCTCAGCAACGAATTTCACTTCGGAGAGCTTCGTCGACGACCTCAAGACCTGGCTGAGCGCCGCCATTACCGACCAAGACACTTGCTTGGACGGATTAGGCAATGATCTGGGAGTTAATATCGCCGTGGCAATGAAGAACTCGACGGAAATTACAAGCAACAGCCTTTCCATTTTGAACCAAATTGCGGACTTCGTCGGATCCGTTAAGCTTCGTCGGCGGCGGCGTTTGATGAGTTGGATGTCAGATGGTGATCGGAGGCTGCTAAAGAGCTCCAGCGATTTAAAATATAATGCTAATGTGGTGGTGGCGAAAGACGGATCGGCGAAGTATAAGACAATTACGGCGGCGCTGGCAGAGGTGCCGACGAAGAGCAGTAAGAAGTTCGTGATATACGTGAAGAAGGGGGTATATTACGAAAATGTTAGGGTTGAACAGAACATGTGGAACGTTGTCATCGTCGGCGATGGGATGGACGCAACCATGGTCTCCGGTAGGCTGAATTTCGTCGACGGCACGCCAACCTTCTCGTCTGCTACTTTCGGTAATCCATCGATCAAAAATAAATTATTAATATTTTGCCATAAACTTCAGAATTCAGAAAATAAAATATTTAAACTATATTAAAAACATCACTAATATTATTTAAAAGTATATTTTTTTTTCATGTTTATTTTTAGATGAGATTGATAATTTCTTAAATCATATAAAAATTTTATTAATATAAACTTTATTCAAATAGAACATATTTCTTCATGCATATATTTAACGTAATTATGACACTAAAATATTATATAAATAACTAAATAAGCATAAAAATATTCTCCTTCCTTTAAAAAAAAGGAAATTTACATATATATTCCAACAACATTTTTATGCATTTACATATTTAACATTTATATTTTGATATTTGAATATATAATATTTTAGTATAAAAATAACATTAAAAAAAGATATATTTTATTAAAAGATAATAGTAATGTCGTTTTAAATATAATTTAAAGATTATAATAAATAAATATTAAATTTTATGTGATATTCATATAAATATATAAAACTTCTATGCTATGTATGTAAATCCAAAATTATATACATACATTCCTGAGTGTCTCAAAGGCGTCTTCTTCGCGAATGCAGCGGTTTTCGGCAAAGGTTTCATCGCCATCGACATGGCATTCCAGAACACCGCCGGCGCAATCAAACAACAAGCCGTCGCCGTACTCGCCAGCGCCGATCTCGTCGCCTTCCACCGCTGCAAATTCGACGCCTATCAAGACACTCTCTACGTCCACTCCCTCCGCCAATTCTACCGCGAATGCACCATCTTGGGCACCGTCGACTTCATCTTCGGCAACGCGGCCTCTGTTTTCCAATCCTGCAACATTCTCCCCAGAACCCCCCTGCCGGGCCAGCAAGACACCATCACCGCTCAAGGCAAGGTCGATCCCAACCAAAACACCGCAATTTCTATTCACAACTGCACTATTTGGCCTTCGGGGAATTTGAGCAGTGTTTCTGTGTATCTCGGAAGGCCGTGGAAACCCTATTCGACCACCGTGTTTATGAAGTCGACGATCTCCGGAGTTATTAATCCGGCGGGGTGGTTGCCGTGGCTGGGAACGGGGACATCGGTGCCGGATACGATTTTTTACTCGGAGTACCAGAATTACGGGCCGGGATCGAGCTTGAAGAATAGGGTTAAGTGGAAGGGGTTGCAGGTTATGAACGCGAAGCAGGCTGGTAAGTTTACGGTTCATGGACTTATTAAAGGGGATTCATGGATTCCTAAAACAGGGATTCCTTACTCTTCTGGTCTCTGAACTTTCAAAAATTGTTAAGTGATTGAACGAAGGATAAATTAATTGGATTGTGATGACTAATCTGAAAACATTTGATTATTTCACTTTCTTTTTTGTGTCTTGACTAAATTTGTCTCAAAGAAAGTCTCTGTGTAAGAAATTTTTTTCAATGAAATTTAATTTATGATCCATACTTTTTGGAATTTTGAATTTGATTGAGGAATCTAGATTACTAGAATCAAAATTTGGGTTAGTTATTATCTTAATAATATTATTATGTATATTTAATATGTGTTGTGGCTTGGAATGCTCATGGGGCCATAGTGAAAGAGTTTAATGTTTCAAGCCTCGTTTGAGACGGCTTAATTTTGTCTTTTCTGTTTCTAAACGGCAAAGTTATTTTTGGGTTGCTATTTACCTTTTAGGCTTCGTTTGAGATTACTTTTTTATTGCTTTTAACAACAGAGTTTTAGTACCAAAATTTTAATTTTTGTACTAAAATTCTGTTTTAAAAAAGCAATAAAAAAGTCGTCCCAAACGAAGCCTAGTATTGACTTTTCCCTTATAAAACTACATTCTCTAAAACAAATCTTGTGTTGATGTTGATAGTGTGCATCAACACCAACTTAATTTAAATATTAATTTAAGTAGGGTTCGAATGACCCTAAATTTTCATTATTTTTTATTTAAATATTGTATTAAGATTTGTGTTTGATTAGGTAATTTTTATAATGATGTTAGAAAATTCATAATAAAAATTAAAAAATATTACATCAATCAATTAAGTAAAAAATGTCATAAAAAAGTAGCTACAAATGGCTTATTTTTTCTGGTTGAATCCATTAGCCAAAAGTAGGAAGCCTTGAATGATTTTAGTAGAAATGCTAGTGGTCCTTTGGGCAAATAAAATCTATGAATTCAAATATTTATGGAATAGTTAACATTATGTTATGATTTAAAGAAAAATTAAAAAGTTAGAGAATTTAAATGTGTTGGATTCAAATTTATCTAAGAGTAATATTAGAAACTTATTTACACTTAACGATAAACAAAAGAAAGAATGAAGATTAAAGAGAGTGTAATAATAATGTAAAAAAAGGGCAACAAAATACAAATTGAATAACAATCAAATTTATGTAGGAAATAGTAGACTGATAAAAATCTATGAGCAGAAGAGGGAAATTAGGTATTTCAAAAGACAAATCAAAGTGGAGAGCTCCTGAATTAGTGAAATTATTATGTGCGACACTAAACTATGTCCAGAGACAAATCAAAATGTGTCAGATCATTTTTTTGTTGTGTACCGCTGTTGTGTACTGCTCGTTACCGGATGACGTGACGCATTTTGACTCATCGCTAGACTGTTTAGTGACCTCACAAAATAATTTCTCCCTAAATTGAGCCTATCAGCCAATCCCTTGTTTTAACATCATACAACCTTAAATTAAAAAAAAAATTCTAATTGTAAGATCCTTCACTTGAGGAAGAAGCACTTCCTCATGATCTTGAGAGAGAGGAGGAGGAGGGAGAGAGGAAAGGGGAGAGCCAAATGCACAACAAATTTTATTTCTCTCTTGGCCCCATTCCTAATACAAACTAAAGCCTGTTTATAGGCAAACAAGCTACACAACTAGCTATACTAATGGCTATATATGCCGTACAAGAAACCTAAACAACCTAAATCTAGGAACAAATACCCAACACTAATTAAATTTGCACAACATATGTCCACAGGCTAGTGTTTTTGCCTCAACCTGATAAATTTTGGGTTACGAATTTTAACATATAAAGAGAGATTAGAGTGAGAAGCTCTGGAATTTCATTAGACCATCCACTTTTTTTTTAACAAAAACATAATTTTATTCAAAAAGTAAGGGAGTACAACATCATCCGAACGACATCCTAAGCGACAAAACAACAAGATACAAGGCAAGAAAGCAAAACTCTTAAAAAAAAAATTGAGCAGGATAAGAATCCCAAACAGACTCAAGAATGGAAGCCCCCTACATCACTTCGCGGCCAGGCATGGACCATCCATAGGTGACATCTACTCAAAACCAACACAGCCTCGATCCCACACGAGAACCCACCAAGCAAAAGGTCAAAACACCAAGGTTGCCAATAAGCCTAACCAACATGGGGAAGCAGGTGGCCACCTCATCATCGTCCACAAAGCCAACAAAAACCACTACAGTAACAACAATAGATACTGCCAAAGCCTATTGCTTCTCGGATTTACTTTTACGCATTTTTCCACTGCCATTGAGAAAAACTTGATCAACAAAACATCCAACCAAATCATTCGCAATGTCATCAAATTTCACATAGAAGGTGAAGAAAGTGACTCATCCAAAACCAGCCAATCAGTTTGAACTAATGCAAAGTTATTCATAGACTGAGCCACATGAGCCTTCAGCTCATCTTTAGACATAACTGAAATAGGAATATTAACAAAGTGGCATTGCCCTCCGAGGCAGCATTAGGAGATAAATCAGCTTAAACATTAATAGGTAAATTCGAAGTCAAATTAACAGACAAAGAAACAACATCCCGGGCCACAAAATCCAAAGGAGAGGATCCATCACAACTAACCAAAGCATGGATTGGAGAAACATGGAGGCCAAAAGGCTCAACATCCCCAGAATTTACATCCATAGAAAGATCTCTCGGAATAGCCACAACATCCGTACAAGAAAAGTTAGTTTTAAGATTAATATCACAATTGTTTTCGATCAATTCTCCTACCTCACCAGCACAAAAAATGACGAATCGGAAAAACATGTTCCTCCTCAACCATAACAAAAATAATATGAACTAAATTAGAATTAAGAAGAACAATATTATCCCCCAAAACATCATCAGCACTCCCAGCCACATTCTCCGGAGGTCCCAACTCCACAGGTTTATCAACCGCAACAATCGCACAGGCGATTAGGCGCCATTCCGGCACGCACCGGAGATGGAAAACAAAAACAAAAAATTAAAGAGAAACACCAAAAAAAGAAGAGAGAACTTCCCTAAAAATCACCGAGATCGTCGGCGCCACCGAGGGGGAAGCCCCAACGGGGCGAGAGAATCCTAAGCGGAGCTCCCGGAAAAAACCCTAGCTGGCGAGGAGGGTCTGTCAATATTTTGTTTGATAAGTTCTGTGAAGTAGTAAAATCACCTTTCTAAGAGCTAATGGAAACATAATTAAATTATTAGTAATTTGATAATTAACAGTAACATCTGGTAAAAGCACCTTTCATTAGACCATCCACTAATTTATTTGTTTGGATTAGGAATTTGTACTTCAAGAAAGGTTACACATTGAGCTAAATAAATAAGAAAAATACATAGCAAGCTTAAAGATTATTTGCTCAAAAATACATGAGCCGTGTAGCTTGTATTCATAAGTGATATATCATCAAAAAATTATCTTGATCATGCCCGAATCTCGATGCAAAATTGAGTTGTAAGCTTCC